GAGGGATGCCTGTGTTGACCTCTAGGCCTCTGGAAGACTGGCCATTGATAATTACCTTCAGAGAACTACCTGCTAGGAAGGATTTTATGATCAAGAATACCCTTCCAGTGATTCCATAACTGGAGAGCTTGTCTACTAAGCCTTTGTGCCACACCTTGTCAAAGGCCTTTGAGATATCTAGTGCCATAGTCCTCAAGGCGTGTTTGTTGTCAAGAGCCTCACTGATTCTTTGAGTGATGGTAGTTAGAATGTTGACAGTGGATCTGGCTGACTGAAACCCATACTGCTTGTTGTTGAAGAGTTTCTTTTTCTAGGAGCTTGATGATCTTCTTATTGGTTATGGCCTCAAAAAGCTTGTTGATGATTTTGAGGAGACTAATGGATTTGTGCTGGGAGGGGGAAGATTGTATGCCTGTGTTCTTGAAAACAGCATACATTTGACATTTTTCACAAGCTTGGGAAAGATTTCTCCTTCAAGCAGTGGTTGAATAACCTTGCTAGGATTGGGGATAATTCCAGGTTGATGTTCTTAAGGACAACCACTGGAATTTTATCTGGATCAGTGGCTTTTTTAGGATCAAGGCCTTTGATAAGTTTAAAGATTTCTCATGCTGTGATGGTCACGTTACTGATATTGTGCTCAGTGAGATGTGGGAACTTGGGGAGGGGATGGTCTTTGTCATTTAACATTGAATCAGAAGCAAAGATGGAGGCAAAAAGGTTTGCCTTATCAGTCAAGTAAGAAATGACCTCAGAGCCATTTACAATTGTGGCTACAGCTGCTTTACCTCTGTTCATGATCTGTTTTGTGATCTTCTAGAATTCATGGGATCCAATTGGTTTCTTTTCAATCTTGGTCTGGACTGCTTGTGTTAAGCTGCACTTGGCATTTTCTAGAACTTTTTTTGCAGTAATTGCAGGCAGTTCTGAATGCAGTGAGCGCCAAACTACTTTGCTCTTTGCGATAGATATTGAAGTAGTGGTTTTGATGAGTTATGGCCACAGCACATTCAGAGGTGATCCAAGGTTAACTGGTTTTTGCTGGAATTTTTTGTGGGATATAAAACTCTCCATTCCAGAAAGGATCAAATCAGTGACAAGGGCAGCGGTTTTTGAGGTAGCATGCTTGAAGTTTGGGAAGGGAGCTTCCATCATACATGATCAAAAGCTGTTCCATTCTGCCTTCACATAGTGAAAAATCATTCTATGGAATGGTACATCAATGGATGCCTTAGGTTTGGCATTAATCTGGACATAGAGAATGGTCTGATGCCTGATGGAGGTAAAACTTGATAGGCATTTATCAGGGCAGGAGGTTATGAAGAAGTCAATTGGTTTGGATTGTTGTGTTTTACGGCATATCAACACCTCAATGGGTTATTTAATGCCAACAACTTTTCTTTTTTTTTTTTCTGGTAATATTTTGTTTTGTTAAAATCTATTTCTGGTAATATTTTTTTCCTCAAAAATGTATAGCTAGTAATATTATTTTAAAACATGTATTGCTGGTAATTTTTTCTTTTCAAAAATTTATTGCTGGTAATTTTTCTTTTTCAAAAATGTATTGCTGGTTATAGTTTTTTTTTTCAAAAATGTATTGCTGGTAATTTTTTTTTTTTCAAAAATGTATTGCTGGTAATAGTTTTTTTTTCAAAAATGTATTGCTGGTAATATTATTTTAAAACATGTATTGCTGGTAATTTTTTTTTTCAAAAATTTATTGCTGGTAATTTTTTTTTTTTCAAAAACATATTGCTGGTAATAGTTTTTTTTTCTCACTTGTGGAAATCTCTTCATGCTTATTGCTTCCTAGTCAACTTTAATCTTCAAAAATTTAAATGCAATATCAATTATTATATTCTGTCTTCTTAATTCTTGTTCTTTTATTGCCTTTTCTCCTTAATAGTGGTTATCATATTCTCTAAGACTCAGTATCCCCTTGCATCCTAGTGGCTTTATTGCCTTCCTTATGGTGAAATGATTAAAACAAACAAACAAAAAAAAACATGGCAGAACACTTCCATATGAGCTCCACTGGTTGCAAGAAACACATCTTGATGATGCCCAATTTCTGTTTTCTACAAGACACTTCCTGTTTTCCATAAACTTCATGTGCCAAGCATGAACGCTGACTTGGTGTTTTTTCATACTTTGTACTGTAATTCCATTTAACCTGTGAGTCTGATTTGGTCTTAGGCCAGACCAGATCCTATAGAATTGTTTGGTAATTGAACTAGGAGAATGAAAGGTCTGAATTCAAACCAGCCTAGAAAGGATTGGGCTCCATCAGGCTATCTTACCCAGGACACACTACTGCTACTGTGGCTGCAGTACATGTGGTACCCCCATGACTTTAAGGTGTTACAAGATTTGTTGTGAAGTTATTAGTTTGTATCAGTAACCTGATATTTAGTTTCTTGATATTTAATCTGAATAATTAATTTTTAATAATTAATACAAGAATATGTTTAAATGACATTTCTTAATGTCTAATTACATGAAAGCACTAGATCTTGTTTATTCATTAAAGGTAAGCAACATTCAATACTGAATAGGTAATCTTTTGATAAATTCAGGTACCCTAATTTGAAAGTAGCCCTGCCACTCAGTCAATGACTGCAGAATATTTCCTTATAAGTAAATGTCTAATTAGTTAGTTTGGTTTGGTTTGTTGTGTTTTATGGCATATCAACCTCAATGGATTATGTAATGCTGACAAAATTTTTATTGCTGGTAATATTTTGTTTTGTCAAAAATCTATTTCTGTTAATATTTTTCCTTCAAAAATGTATCACTGGTAATAATTTTTTTTTTTTTCAAAACTGTATTGCTGGTAATTTTTTTTTCTTCAAAAATTTATTACTGGTAATCATTTTTTGCAAAGTATTTCTGGTATTAAAACCCATTTTTACACTTTCATAGTGTTTTTACCCCAGTTTGTAGGTTAACTATTTGCTTATAGCTGGGAGCCTAACAGGTGCTACCACCCCGGGTCAGGGTGGACCTGAGAACACCAACAATTAAGAGGTTGTTCCATGCTCCTCAAAATCTCCTGATCAGAGGCCTTGCTGCTGGATGTAGTTTACCCAGGACGCAGATGTAGTTTGTAATCATACCCAGGATGCAGCTAATTAGAGATGAGAAAACAGATACTACACTTTGATCCCAGTCCAATGACCAAGGAGTGAAGAAAATGAATGCTGAATATTTATGAAACAGCTAATATTGACATTAGTGATGAATAGAGCAGATACTACATTTTGATCCCTGCTCAATGGGCAGAGAGTGAAGAGAATAGATACTATACTTAGTATTTACTTGTTTCCCCACAGTGATAGAATATGACACAAGTCTGGTTTAAAATAGGGAGCCCAAGCATGTGCATATGGGCTAAGTACCTAGAACCAACATTATGCTGATGTTGATATTCCACTGACCCTCCCTCTCTGGGTTAAAATCCCCAGAACCAGGTATCTCCCATTGAGAGATAAAATGTAGTTTATCTGCCCAAAGGCAAATACTACACTTAATATTTACTTGGTGCCCCATGCTGGCCATATGTGACACAAGGTCAATTTAAGGTGGGGAGCCTGAGCACATGCACACAAGCTAAGTCCTAAAAATAGTGCAGCCCCTGCAACCCATGGTAATACTAATGATCCCCACTCTTTAGTGCAATGAGGGAGGTACTGTCATGGGCAGCTGTTCTCTGAAACTGAGTACCACCTGATAATTTTTTCAGCTGTACTTTGCCCAAAGACAAAAACACAGCTGAGTTGCACCCTGCCTGAATATAGAAACAGAATTGAGAGGTAAAATGTAGTCTTTCCATCTGAAGACAGATATTACACTTAGTATTTACTTGTCACCCCCACGGTGATGGGATATGGCACAAAGCTGATTTAAAGTGGGAAGCTGAAGCATGTACACATGGGCCAGGTCAAAAAACTATCCAGTCTTCACAGCCAACATCACACTGGCATCAATATTCCATCCACTCTCCCTTTTTGGTGCAATGTCAGAAGTGCTGCTGCAATATTGGAATTCCTGGGAACAGGCATCTATTTGTTATGTTCTGTCTGAAGAAAGAAACACCATTGGGAAATAAAATGTAGTTTATCCACCTGAAGACAGATACTACACTTTGATCCCATCTGGATTTGCTTTACTTGTATTAGAATTAGAATTGTTCATATATAAGATATAAGAACTTTTATTAAATTGATTTTTTTTAAAACCAATGAATTATTTATAGATAAGATTAAATGAGAAAGGTAAACACAGTCTTATTGTATTTGATATTTTATTAAAAAACGAGAGAAAAATTAAACTGTTCTAAACAAAAACAAAAATATATTAACGTTATTTTTTTCTCTTAATTATTAAAATTTAAAAAAATCTTGTTAAAATATTTTTTTAATAATTTTAATCTATTATCAAACTAGTTTCAGAAATTTTTTTCCCAGATATTTCATAAAGAGAGAAAACAAAGAATAATGGAGAAGATATTGCAGATACATTTATTTTACAAATTAATCTTTTGTTCGACTTGTGAAATGATTTTTTTCTTCTTAAGCATTAATTATTCTTACATAAAATGCTTTTAAAAAAATTATTTAAATTATTTGAAGGAAAGCTTAAAGCTCTTTTAAGGGAGATAATGATTTTTAATTTTTAAAAAACAGAAAAAAGAGTTGTGTTTCCTGCAATGGAAAGAATTTTGAGCTGCTGAATATGAAAAAAAATGACCTAGCAAGAAATTATGATCATGAATAATTTTTAAAATAAGAAATTATCATATCTAATCTATTTTAAAATTATAAATGCATAATAAAATTATCTGAAGAGAAATCTAGAAACATTTAAATTCGAAATAATTGTTTATTAATAAGAAGAGTGTTGCATGCCGGGCTGGCGAAGTCCGTTTCGTTGTTCGTTCCGGCTTTCTAGTTTTAGAGAACACTATTGCACTTCTGTACCTTGTCCGGTTTCGGCTAATCATGGCGGCTCCTTGCAACGTCGAAGGTAGGCATTTCTGTTCAGGTTTATTAGCCATTTTTTTCTTGATGCCTTACCGTTGGTGCGTCAGAGTGTAGCAAAAGTAGACCATTAAGAAATCGTGTATTCAATCGGATTGAAGCCATTGTTTTGTTTGCTTGCTATCTGCCCGTCTGTTGTGATATTGTTCCGTGGGGCGCCATTTTTAGTCTGAAACAAATGATAGTATGACTGTGTGTAGGTGTGAGTGGCATGTGGACTGGGAAGAAAGAAAGAGATTTTTACTGCTCACGCATATTAGATCTCTACACAGACCTTCGTTTAATGAACACGTACATTCCAAATTTAGTGTATTTTATTTCTGTTTTATTTTATTTTTTTTTCGTATTTCACTTGTATTCGATGAAGTTGTTCGTAACCGCTTCGACCTAAAATCACTTTTTTCTTCTAAAAAGAAATTTAGTTAGGAAGTTTTTACTTGGCTAGAAATCGGCAAGTGGTCTTAGAATTGTCAAATAAAACAATAGCATCGTCTTTATCCTTTCAAATACTTGAAAAAAATAAGAGCTGTTTGTTTGTTTTATGTATTATTAATATTTCTTCCTACTACATTTGAATCTGACATCTCTAAAAGATTCTGGGGGAAAGAATTAAAAAAAATGTTTCCAAATAATTATAGTTCATTGTCTATTTTCTTTTTCTTTTCTTTTAAATATTCTAAATATATTGTTCATATTTTGGTATGAGCCCCTATTTTTTATTAAAATAAAAGAAACATAAGAAAAAAAAAACTGAAAATACCTTTACTTTTTAAATATAAAATCTGATTGAAAATTAAATATTCGTTCGCCTTTATCTAGAGACAAAGCTAAAAAAAAAATGGGGAATAAAATTGGGAAATACTTTTTTAATCTAAAAAGTTTTATTTATTGCCTTTTTAAAAAAAATAAAAATCCCTAATAATAATTCTGTTTAAACCCCCTTTTATTTTATCTAAAATTTTTTTACGTAATTCGTGTTCATTATATTCGCAATAAATTAAAATAATTTAGTTTTAATCACCAACAATCGATACAAGACTACATAAATGTTCAGTTCAACCATTCTAGAAATTTCAAAAATAAATAAAATAATTATCTCTTTATTTTTGTAGATTATTCATTTCTAATTGTCCTTGTCTCTTTATTGTCGACAATAGATTTATTACCAATTTACCATATACTTCTAGTAAAATTTTCTATTTTTTTTTTTTTTTTTCTTAAATAAAAATATTGATAAAATCTTAGTTATTTTTATATACAAATTTTCTCTTGGTTTTATGAATCTTAAGAAAAAAAGCTTTTTATTTTTTAACCTTTGTAAATAAGTTTGACTATTAAAAAATAAAATAATCATTTGCTTTATTTAGCTTGTCAGATTGGCTTAACCCTAAAACTTTTAAAATATAACAACCTTTATGTTCATTGATTCCTGATAAATTTTTTTTAAAATGCTTTGATTTTAATTTCAAATATCTGAATATAAATTTCTTTTAAGTTGTCTGATTATTAAACAACAACAAAAAAAAACTTTTATGGTCGTCTTGTTAAAATTTTAATTTTTATATAAAAATAATTAAATCTTAGTGACGATTTAGTTTTTTTTTGTTTTTTTTTAAGTTGTTTGTGAACGTCAATGACTTCGCATACGAAATTGATTTCAAATTTAATGATCAGCAATAATAATTAAGTTTTTAATTTATATATTACTGTAAAAAAATTGTTTATTATTGATTTAATTAATGTCTTACTAGTTCAAGCTTGGTATTATTATTAAATAAGAAAGACTGAAAGGGGGAATAGCTGTGAGCAATTGTTTCACTGCAGTTGCTCCATATGTCTTAAATTGATTTTTAATATAAATATCTTAAATTTTCTAGATAGGTAAATTTAGGTATTAATCATTTATTTACAATAATTTAACAAAAAACGACCTTTTTTTTTTTTTTTTTCTTTTTTTTTTTTTTTTTTTTTTTTTTTTAAGTTTTAAAGTATTTTTTTACCTCGATTCATATTGCGATTCATGTGTCAAAACTTTTGAAAGCACTCGTGTTTTTCGTTCTTCAGTCTGTGTGTGTGTATATATATATATATATATATATAATATTCATTCATTCCCACGAGTTCACAAAATACGAAAAATAATCCTACAATCTGACCGCCAGTCTCCTTTTGCAAAAAGTCGGCATGAGGAATGTATTTGCTCACGTGATTATTACCTTTATTGTAAAACGGGCAGTAGACAAGCAGGAAAAAGTAACCTTTCACCGATTAATTTAGAAAAAAAGAATCTAAATAACATTTTTATTTATTTATTTACTTTTTTAAAATTTTAAATTGGAATTTGGTAGTCCGGACTTGTAATTGTTTATAAACTACTAATTTATTTATTTTATATACACACACACACGTAGACATACTGTCATTTTTGAAAATTGATAATGCGGTCAAGTTATAAATAAAGGCATTTGGGAAATATAAATGACAATTGATTTAAATTTTAATTTCGTATGAAATTATAAAAAGAAATTAGTGAGTTTGCTTGAGAGATCATTTGACACAGGAGAGTTCTAGTGAAAAGGGGGGCATTCATAAAAATGGAGGATCATTTATTATTTGTCGTTTTTGTTTTCTTTTTTGTTGTTTTCATAGCTTCTCTTTCATTGATTATAATTCCTAGATCGATCGGTTTTACGTCGACTTACAATATTTTTTTTAAAAATCTGAGATATATATATTCTCTACCTGTTTTTTTAGTAAATTTGAAATGAATTATTTCCTGACTGAAATTGTTGAAATTGAAAAATCTCTAGGTTGTTTTTCAATTTTTTGGCAGTAGTTTCAAGACAAACTTTTTTCAAAATTTGTTACTTTAACTACATTTCGTGTTAGTCATCTATATTCCAATTGTATTTTATTTTAGTTTTTTTACACATTTTTAAATTAAAAATCGATTTTTAAATTTTGATAAATTACTATTTTTTTTGTTGTTCAACATATATCAAATTCACACGATTTGTTCATGGTGATGCATGATACAATGTTTTACAATACATTTAAAGAATAATTGTTTTTATTATTTCATTTTTTTTTTCTGTAGTATATTAAAGTTCGTTTTAAAATGACTACTAATTATTATGACTAAAAAGTAACTTCCCCTGAATAAAACATTGATTTAGATTTATAACTTAACGCGATTTTTACAGTTAAAACATACATATGTTGGTGATTTGTATATTAAAAATTCGTTTGCGAACTATTGCAAATTGTAAAAAAAAAAAAATTTTCTATGATTTTTATATTTTATATAAAATGTATTATTGGTCTTACTCTTGAAGTGCCCGTTGACGTTTAAAAAATAATTTATTAAAAATTCTTATGTTTTCAAATCATTCGCAATCATTGGTTTAAAAAATGTTCACACTTAGACTTGTAATAACGGTCTAATTGTTTATTTTGTAAGTTGATCATCATAAATTTATAGATAATTTATTTTAAATATTCAGTTTTTTATGGCATCTCTCTGCAAGTTCAATTTCTAGTTAAAATATGCTCTTAACTTTTTTTTAATGAACGCAATACACAGTAATTTATTGTTTAATGAAATTACTGAGTTGTGACAAATGGAAAAATATACAATTTTAAAATAAGTATTTTGAATTCTAGATTAGACACTGTGTTTACATCATTCGGACTGTTGTCCTCATCTTTTTATTGAAACGTCGTCTTGTATGGCAATGAAGACAACAGTCTGAATGATGTAGTTTTATAATACCTCACCTCAAAAATATAGGCAGATTAGGAAATTTGAATTTAAAACCATTCTAAATTTGCTGAAGTTTTGTTCTAGTTTTCTTTTTTTCTTGAACTAGCCAGTTATTGGCATGCCTTTAAAAATCATTGCAGGATCTTGTTTAAGAAACGTTTGTTTTCATCTCTCCTGCTCCTGCATTTATTGATTGTGGTTATTTAAGCCCAAAGTTAGGAGAATTTAGGTGAGATATATTGCAGTTTCTTTGTTTATTCAGGCATTTTAGTATTGATATTTGAGTAGACATTGGTATACTATAAATAAATTTACTTGTTGAAAGGGACATTATAAATATCCTCAAGTGTGTTGTAAGTTCTCTTTTATTTTTATTTTTTGCAGTGTATACTGTTTGTTTCTCATTTGTGAAGGTAGCAACCAGTGTATTCAACATTGAAAAATCTGACCTTTTTGTCTCATTGTTAAGTAGTAGGGATGAGGCACTTCAACGTGGTGTAATGGTTAGCAAGCTGGTTTCACTATATCAATTACTACTGAGTTTGATCCTCGCTAGGTTCTCTATACTTTTGGCCTTGTGCCACATCTTAGCTTAGTAAATCATTATAAGCAATGGGGACATAGGCACAAGACTGGGTAGCATGAAACACTGTTGCCACCCAGTGTTGATACCTATGTCCACACTGTTTATATTTACAAATGTTCTGTTCCTGATATTGAGCAGCATTTTCCCTTAAATATAGCATAATCTTAAAAATTATACTTTATCATATACACACAAGATTCCTTATCAAATGTAAAATACTTTTTCAGCATCTGTATCTAGTATAAATATTTTGGGATGATGGTGGAGTGTCAGTGGAAGATTGTATTGTCTGGCTTTCATCAATGTTCAATCCTTTCCATTGATTTTAGTATTGAAAAACCTGACTTTTTATCTAGATTAAAACATTGTTCAAGAAATATACTTTACCTATCTTTGAAAACAAATCTGTATTAACCAATTGGTTTTGATTTTCTTTTTGAAGATGAACCTAAGTAATATTGTTTGGATTTTTGTTGTTGATGCTTCCTTGGTATTTTACTGAATTATTATTTGTGAAAAAAAATATAGGCACTACTTAATTGGTCCATTTTGTAAAAAAAAAACAAACAAAACAATTTTCTTGGTGTGGGGTGTCATTTTTGTATATTAGCATTTTGGGGGATTTTTCTTGACCCAC